CTGGACACGAGGGAGGTTGGCTTTTTTCACCATATAGCCCAATACTGAATGATTTTTACCTTGTGCATGTATTCTTTAAAAAAGTTTTCAGACACTGATTTATAACAATGAGAGAATTTCCTTGAGGAAAATAAATAATGTGCCACTTTGTAAACCGAGTGGAAGAAAACGCGGCAGTGACTGTGTTATTTGTGGCAGGAGTTATTTGTCGCAGCCTTAAGAAGCGTTTAACCTTCCATTCTCATCACCATTTAATTTCGTAAGAAACTCCCAAAGCAGAAAGATAGAGGAATTAGGAGGGGGGAAAAGATTTGGGGATGGATTACAGATATTTTTCTAGTAAATCCAAAGATCTTTTTGACATTTGTTTCATTATCACAGAAAATCTGTCCTCTCTTTTATTTCCATCTCTCAGTGGACTGGGAACCTGGTTACTTTTTCCTCTTTGATCCTTGCAGGAACATTCCCTGATCTCCTTTTTTGTTACTTCTCATGTAGTTCAGCGTTTCTTTGTTACTTGAGATGCACCAGGTTTCGTTAGATCCACGTAAGCATTGACTGCTCTTGTCCGTTAATGATCCTGGGGAACGCACAGAATTTGAACTCGGAAAACCAGTGTTCGCTGGTTTCTGTTGTCGTGTCTCCATTGCATTAAGCTGTCGGTTTCCCTTCCCTTAGGTGCTGCCACGTCCTCGTCATCTTCTTCCCCCTCGTCCAGCTCCATCACAGCTGCTGTCATGCTAACGTTAGCTGAGCCGTCCATGTCCAGTGCATCGCAGAACGGAATGTCGGTCGAGTGCAGGTGACAGCGGGACTTGCTAAAGCACTTTGCACTTAATGGCTGTTGAGGGCCACGTCTTTTTTATACTGCACAGTGGCACAAAAAAATCAGACAAGCACTATTTTATATTTAAAAGTTGTTTCTTGACAAGCTGACTTGGCACTTAAGTGCACTTTTTTTATGAAGAAAAAGTACAATGAACTGCTTTTCCTCAAGCAATAATTGTTTCCACCTTGTCTGGGAATTGTGTGTCTGGTAACTTGAAGGCCTTCCACTGTGGCGAACGGAGGCTTTTCACTGCCTGCAGAGACAATGCGGTAAGCGTAGTCATCGGGTGGCCAGAACATGGTAAGATAACTTACTGTATATGTATTCCCTTGTATTTTGTTAAAGCTGGAACATTTGATATTTTTCCATTTATTTATGAAAAAATATGAACCTATTTTCATTTGTACAAGCTAATTGTTTTTTAAAGCAAGTCGCCTTAGGGTGGCTTTAATTGTATAAGTCAAGCACATGTTATAAATTCGAAACCTGCAGTTAACAGGATATTAGACATCGATCCTGATAACCAAATATTAAAGATTCTCTTTTAAAAAGACTGAACATGTTTACAGGTTTGAATTAGGCTAAAAGGTCTTACAGTGGCTTTTCATGCCCCTTCAAATTGGAATGGAACTACTGTACTTTGCCATTTTTCTATAAATCAGTATTTTTTTTTAATTTTGATATAATACATTGTGTGAAAAAAAATGGCTAATAAACTGTATTAAATCTTAAACAATGTATAAAGATTGTACCTAGCCAGTTCAAAGTGTATATTTATTCATAATGAATTATAACAGTTATATTTTTGTGTTTTCTTGTAAATGTTTCTTTTTCCTTAAATACAGATGATTCATTTGTATTGCTTATTTTATTATGAGCTACAACAAGAGGACTTCAGGAACAAGTAAACTTTTATTAGTATGGTTCAAGGCTGTTGATATGAACTGTCTCAAAAGGATGGTTTTTATTTTAAGTATAAATAGCTAATTGGGGTGGTAGGCCTATAAAATTAAATGCCTTGTATAAAATCCAAAATGAGCGCAAAGTTGTTTTCACTTGTACTGACTTTATGTTGTATGACTTCGGTCTCTGTTCTGTTTGGCACTTGTATTTAATTCTACACCTTTGTAAGACATTTGTATATTGCGGATGTGTTCATTCAGGCTATTTAATACCTGGCACTGTTAATACACAGTCCTTTACTGTACAGACTGTTTTACTGTTTTACTTGTAGTTCCGTGTGCTTTTTTTGGATGGGACTGGCATGTTTCATTTGTTTTCTGGCAATATGACGTGAGAATTTCAAAGCGTTTTGTTGTAGATGCTAACGTGTCAGAATCCTTTACATTCAACTTTTCTAAGAAAAGCATTTTCAGTCTTGTAGTGTGTGCTTACAGTAACTAATTTTGTTGAAAATGGTTTCAAGTTACTCAAATTTGTACAGGACTGTAAAGATTTGTTGACAGCAAAACATTGAAGAAAAGCTTATAGAATAAAAGCTATAAAGTATATATTAGGAGCTGCAAACAGTGAAGAATTATGTAATATATTGTACAGATGTAAGCAAAGGCTCTGAAATAAAAATGCCATAGTTTGTGAATCCTTGATTTTGTTTCTGAAAGATTAAGTAACTTTCATTCATTTCTGTATGTGATGACTGAAATGTGTATCTCCAGCATGTGTTACCAGAAAGGGTCAACTGACATACAGAAAAGTGGATATTCTGCCCACAGAAATGCCAAGTCTGTTAACCAGGTTGCTGTACAGGGTTTGCTGGGCACCTTGTATCTTTGCATACGCTATTTAGCTCGAGTCTGAACGTGAATACTTACGACTTGGAGGTTTGTCTAAAGAAAAAAAATCAGAAAAAATTTTTTTCTTTAATGCTTGAAACCATTACTAGCAGCTTTTTTTTTTTTTGTCTTTATTGTAGTTGGACCTTTGTGGGTCTCATACACGTTCAGTGCACTTTAGACCCCTTCGGAATCATCTGGGCGTTGTTGAAACAATCGTCAGTACTCAGGCCCCATCCTAAAAAAGTCCTGTTTAATTGCTCTGGGATGGTACCTGGATGTTAAGCTTTTTTTAAGGTGGCCAGTGATTTTAATATGCATCTGGGTTGAGAACCACTGCTTTACTCCAAACCTTTAAAATCAGTAATTAGGTGTTTTTTTTTTTTTTTTTTTTGCCCCATTTAATGAACTTTCCACCAAGAGAAAATCCTTTCTTTGGAAAAAAAAGGAAAGAAACTTTTTTAAGGCCTAAAAAGCTCAAGTGTATATTTTTAACACACCTTTGCAATGACCCTTTATTTATTTTCACAGAAATTCATTTAACATTTAAGGGATGAGTTTTAAAGTCTGTAGAACAGTGCTTGTCAAAATGTCCCAGAATACTGGCCCCTGGAAATGCTCTGGGAATGTATTACCAGACATATTTGGGAAGTACTCTGTATAGCACATTCCCTTCTTAGAGCTTCCAGTGTTAGCAAATTAAAGCTCAAAAAGTCTGTGAAGAAACACCAACTTCCTTTACACTACTGTTTTCAGTCTTACCTGATCATGAAACCCTGTTTTTCAAGGAACTCCAAATATTACCCACGTGGTATGTTAACAGAAACAGTGACGTAAAGGAGGATAATTACAAACTTTGTTGTGGGGTGAGGTTTATACCCTTGGGCTTTTCTGCCCTCTTGCCTATTTCTCCCTTCCCAGCTTCTCCTGAGAGTGAAATTTTCATGACATTACTAGAATTTGACTTAAGACTTTCCTGGTCGCCTAAACTGCATTTTATCAAACTAGTTTACAAGCTGTAATAAAATTAAGATGGTATTTTTTTTTAAAGTGTTCTCCAAGCCTTTTCTTCCCTACTGAAATAACCTGAGGGTGAGGACTTGTTAATTTTAATAACCTGTGGAGACTGGGGAAGGTGGAGCGGAGTCCGTGAAACCCCTAACATTTTTTACAAAATGTATTTGTATTTTTTAATGAAAAGAGCCCTTGTAAGTTGAAGAAACTGTTCAAGGGAGCTAGTGCTCTGTAAGTAGTTAAAAGATGGTTAACAGCAGTGGGGATCATTTTTAACTATCTCCAACCCCAGTCCCTTTCACACTCACCCAGTTATTTTCCTCTAGAATTGTGTGCTGCCTTTGATTCTTTGTGAGTCCATTTCTCTATCTTTCTCCTAATTTTAACCTGCTGTTCAGGGGGTTTTGCCTAACATCGTGTGATGGATTTGTTATGTATAAGATATAATCTTCTGGAGGAACAGTTTCATGGTTCAGTTGTGGAAGTAATACATACGATATCAGAAAAAGGAAGTGCTAACTTGCGTGGTGATGGAATGCAGGTAAGGGACAGTGTGTGAGCCTGCAAGAAACGTGATGACTAATGCTATGCGAACCTTAAATTAACCCTTAAATGGGATTCATCGAGAAATGGAATGTGTGGGCTGGAGAGGAGGAAAGAGTACGGAAGGCCAGACTCAAGGTTGCTGAAATGCTTCAGAGAGGAAGTGATTCTTGGGGAAGGGACATGTTAGGGACACTGGGGAAGCAGTGAAGTTCACTGGGATACAGTCTGAAAGAAAAATGAACCAGAATATCTTCACTGAACTGTACTGGATAGTTGGAGATGCTTGAGTTACAAGCGTGGACAGTTGGATTTTTCTCATCTTGTTGAGATACCTGAAGGTCACAGTTACGGGAAGCCAAAATAAGGGACTCAGAAATTAAAACCAGGACCAAGCAGTTGAATATTGTTTTTTTCCATCCAAATTTTTTTCTTACCTTTATATTCCTTTCAATCCATTTTTTCCAACCCCCACCCCGTATGGCAACTACCAATCTGTTCTCTGTATCTATGAGCTTATGTTTTTTGTTTGTTTAGATTCCACATATAAGAGAAATCATAAGGTACGTGTCTTTCTCTTTTTGACTTATTTCACTTTGGCTGACTCAGATTCATGCTTCGGGCCTCAGCCCCTCTCGTAAGACTTCCTTCCCTCCCCAGACTTAAGTTTTTTCTTCTACTGAGCAAGGTTCAAAATTGGTCCAGAAGCCGGGCTCCGCCCATTGTCTCCGCCCCTCCATTGTCTCCACCTCCTCCGCCCACAGTTTCCGCCCCCCCGCCTGCCCAGTGTCTCTGTCTCCGCCCCCAGCGTGGCCGCAGAGACTCCTGGGCGGAAGGGGCGTGGCTCCGAGTGCGGAGTGGCCGGAACCCGGAAGTGCGGGCTCCCTTGAGGCAGAGGTGCGGAAGCCTTGGCTGAGCATGGCGCTGGAAGGGAAGAACAAGCGGAGGAAGTCGCAGAGTGCCCAGGACAGGTGAGGGGCGCGTGGCTCGTCCGCCCGGGCAGGGGAGGGCGTCTGGGAGCACGGGGGACGCGGCGGGGGCGTGGCGTGACGTCGCTGAGTGTCTGGGTTCGTGTCTAGAGAGGACGCGGACGGCTGCGTCGGTGGGAAGCCGGCAGGAGGCTATCTGGTTGGACAAGTCGCCGACAGCCTGTCCCGCGGCGAGCGGCCCTCCGGGGGCAGCGCGGGCCGGCTGGCTGCCCTCTTCGGCTCCTGGGAGCCCGAGCTTCAACCCGTGTACGTGCCTGCGCCCAAAGTAAGTCGCTGGGTTCTACTCCGAACGGCCCATTAGAGCAGCTTGACAGCCGGCCATCATCTGGCGGGGCCAGCTTTCTCAAGTGGGGCAGGTGGAATTACTTTCATTGCTGGGTCTGCCAGTGAGAGGGACAATGTGCTAACTTAGAGCGGACACTAAGTTAGTAAAAAGGATGAAGTCTCAAACGTAACTTAAAACTTTTAAAAGGAAACCGCCAAAAAAAGGAAACGGGATGAGGAGGAAGAAAGTCCATCCCAAATTCAAAGACCACTTTTGCAAGAACCTGCAAAAAAAATGAAAGTGAAGAAGAAATTTTCTGATGCAGACAAAAAGTTGGCAGACAGGTTGGTAAAATTCTCTCTTAGTTAATGTTAAAGAAATTAGATGGTAAAGAAATGTGAGATTCTTACAACTGCAATATTCATTTTAATTTTTGCCTCATTTCATAGTTTAAACACTTTCATTGTGGAAAAGTTGAAAAGGGTAAGGAAACCTTCGTACCCAGCAGCAACAGTTTTTAATACTTGGCCAAACTTTTTAAAATTTTTTTTTGAAGTATAGTTGATTTACAATGTTGTGTTAGTTTCTAGTGTACAGCATAGTGATTCAGTTATACATCTATACATATGTATATATATGTGTATATATTCTGTTTGCTTGTTTGTTTATTTACTTATTTATTTTAATGGCGGTACTGGGGATTGAACCCAGGACCCCACAGATGCTAAACACATGTCCTATCCCATATATTCTTTTTCAATACTTGTCCAGTCTTGTTTCATCTTTACCCCGTTCATATCTCCCTCATTATTTGGAAGCAGACCTAAGACTTATGTTTCACCTATAAATATTTCAGCATGTATGTAAAAGATGGGTGTGGTTTTCTTAAACTGATGCAGTCAGAGATCAGATTTCCCCCATTAGCTTAACAGTTTTTTCTTAAACAGTATATTTGAATTGAGATCCAAATAGCTGTGCACATCCTTAACTTCTTCCCCTTTCAGAGAAGGGTGTCTTCCTCCTTGTCGAAGATGACTTCAGTCATCTGTGCTATTTATCTGTAATACAAACCTCTTTTCCTGCCTCCTCAGGGATTATGCCATCCGATGTGTGTATATATCTGTGCACCTGCACCTGTCTGTTCACGTCCACCTCAGCTTCCGAATGCTCCCAGTGGGGCTCACTGTCCTCATCACACGTCTTCCTCTGCTGAGGGGTGTCGTCAGTCTCCAGCTGCCTGAGCCTGTGACTTGGGAGCGGTCTAACGCTCTGTCTTTTCCCTGCATAGCTAATCAGTTGTCAGGCTCCGATGATGCTCTCTTTTAATTATCTCTTCAGCCACTTCCCTTTCCACCCGCTCCCTTGCTCTGGCTGGTCTGTTGTCTTCTGAGATCCCTGCGGTTCACCTTGTCTCTTTATCAGTCTCCCTTATCCTGCCTTGTCCCTTTCATAATTATCTTCTGCTCTGCTGCCCAGGTGATCTCTTCTGGGCACTGTCTGAAGTCTTCCGGGGCTCCCCATCTTCTGTGGGATAAAATATAAGGCCTTCTGCGTTACAGGCACCATCCCTCTTGACTTAGCTCCTGTCTTACCACGGTGTCCCGCTTCCTCTCACCCCTGCTAGTACTGTATACACCACAGCGGGCACAAGACGAGCCGCAGACCCTCTGTCCGGTGGAGCTCGTAGTCTGGTGGTGGTGCTCGTGGTCGGCCTTTGCTGGGATCTCTGTGCTGTACACTGTCTCTCCCCCCAGACCCTTCCTTGTTTCTTCTGTGTTTCTACACCGCCTGTTCTAAGTGTGACCATTTCGTTGTGAATTTTGCCTGGCTCTTCAGAGACTAGCCTGCTGAAAGGCCTTTAATCGTGTCTTTAGCTGTGTATCCCCAGAGGCTAGAACTGAACAGAAACCCAGTAAAATACCTGTTGAACGAATGAACCATTTTTATGACTCCTCCTGCCCGTTCTCCCCACTCTCTCCTTATCATCCTGGTCCAGTGCTCTTTTTGGCCTGCTCACCAGTCCTTTACAGTGTTTGGCATTTCGGAGTTTACTTTTGACAGGCAGTCCTTTAACTATTGAAGAGCCACTGTAAGGAGGAAAGCTGGCTTCTCCCGTTGGCCAGACGGCTCTTACAGAGATACTGTTCTGCCGGCATGTTAACCTTCACAGACCCAAGGGAGCGCTGCGGTAACACCCGAAGTCTAGAGCGAGAGGGAAATTTAGTGTAAATTAAACCCCGGAGAGCTCTAAATGAACTAATTTTGTTTAAGTGACCTTTTGTTGCTCTCCTTTTACCTGGCAGTTTTAACATATCTTCAGAAATTGACCTTAACTTCCTCTAATTCTTGAGTTTCCTAAAGATACCAGTCACTTTTTCTTTCTTTCTTTTTCTTTTTTAATGGAGGTACTGGGGATTGAACCCAGGACCTCGTGCATAGTAAGGCACGCCTCTACCACAGAGCTGTACCACCCCCGCACCGGTCACTTTCTGATAATGCTGTTTAAATGTAGATGTATCTGTGACTGGTAAGTTTATATTTAGGAAAGCCAGAAGTGGGGGGAAATACTTCTAATCGCCCTGCTGTGTCAAATACTAGACCTGATTTCTATGACTCTCTTTATTTTTTTAACTTAAAAAGAGAAAATGCTTTAGAATGTGCTGATTTGGAAGAAGAAATTCACCAGAAACAAGGGCAGAAAAGGAAGAAATCTCAGCCTGGTGTTAAAGTAGCAGGTAAAAAAGAATTTGATGATGTAGATGAGACAGTTGTGAATCAGAGAAAGAAAATTCAAAGCAACCAAGAAGAAGAGAGATTAAAGAATGAGAGAACTGTGTTTGTGGGGAATTTGCCTGTCACCTGTAACAAGAAGGTGAGTGTGTGGTCTGTATGTTGTACATACTCAGAGAAATTAATAATTCATCACTTTGTTTCACTGTGACTTTATTGAATAAGCACATAATCAATAATCTTTAATGCATAACTTCATTTGTGATGACATAAATCATTCTGCAGGTTGATTCCAGGGCCCACCTTTCCATGCGCGAAGTCACTGCCCTCACTCAGGCTTTGCGAGTCTCACTTGAACTATTGCAGTGGCCTCCCACCTGGTCTTTCCTTCCAGCCTTATCTTCTGTTGCACATTTATGCCTTTAGGACCGAAGCTCCGTGTGTGCTGGGCAGTTACCCCTTGTGTTGACCGCTCCATCCCTAGCACTTGAAACCATGCCCAGTGTGGAGGGGAGGCTTGAATATTTGTTGTGTAGGTGAATGAATATGCCCCAGGTTTCTTCCATTATGTGGGGTTCATGAAACCAAAACACACCCTTGACTTTCTGTGTGTTCATGTGACAGTCACCCTGTTGGTAGTCCCTTGGGTCAAAATCCAGCTCATCTTTTGAAGAACAATTTATTTGGGGGAGGGGTGTGTAAATTAGGTTGATTGGTTGGTTGATTGGAGGGACTGGGGACTGAACGCTGAGCACACCCTCTACCACTGAGCTACACCCTCCCCACTTTGAAGAACAATTTAAATTCCAACTTAGCTCCTGGTTTTCCCCCTTTCCTCTTTTGCCTCCTAGCATTTGATTTGTGATGATTTGGTAGAACAGAACCCACTTTACTTTGTGGTACAGTTTTGGTTATTTGTCTTTCTGTTAGATTGTAATGGCTTAAGGGGCGGGCATGCTTGTGGTACTTTACACATTTAATAAATTATTTTTGAATTAGAATTGCTTACAGAAATGATTGTCCAAGCTGTGAAACATACACATTCTTCACAGCCTGAGCCAGGCATATGAATAATATTTAAAATTGATTCTCAGATTTTCCTTCACTCTGATCGTCTTAATTCCAGAAAGTTGAGAATTTCTCATAGTGACATAAGCATCCTTAAAATCCATTTGTGGTTAAAATAGGCCAATGTCAAAATTTATGGAATATATCATCTTAGTTTACGTGTAGTAAAGATTGTAAAAGATTGAAAGACAAAATGTTGTGTTCCTGTGGATATTAACATGAACTTGAATTGTGTTGTCTTTTTATATAAGTTTCAGTAAAACTTCCTTGTCTTCCAACTGAAAGTGGACTAAAGTATATATACTTTTTTTTCTTTTAATTTTTAGAAGCTGAAGTCACTTTTTAAAGAGTATGGACAAATCGAATCTGTACGATTTCGCTCTCTGGTATGTTTCCCCTTCTTAAGACTGCATACTCTTAAAACGTATTGCACTTAAACCAGTTTTGTTAATGTGTTGGTGTTAGTGAGATGAGGGAGCCCCTGACTTAAACCTTTGGCATCAGCAGGCTCAAATCTGTCCCAAAAGAAGGGTCACACTTAGTGTCTGTTGCTGCCTCTTGGACTTTGTTGAATAATCTAATGAGCTCACGAGCTTTCGAATCCTTGCGGAGGCCAGCAGTGTATTCTGAAGGGAGGGAGGGAGGGCAGCTCCTGTCGCTGTGTCAGGTGACGAGGTGGGAATGTTGATGCTTCCTGAGCAGCATCTCTGGAATCACACGTTCATCTGGGAGGTTCGTGTGACTGCAGAGCAGCACTTATACTCTGACATAGAAAGATGAAGTATTTTTTAATCCATTTAATGTTAAAACTGTGTAGAAGTAAAGGTACCTGATTTCACCTACTGAGCAGTCTGTGGACGGTTACAGCCATGTTCCTGGAGCGTGAATAAGCGTCCCTCGTCTACTTCTCCTGTAATGACTATGCGCTGGAATAGAGGAAGTGTTTCTTCCGTGTTTCGAACCATCCTCTCTCAGAGAGACTCTCTGGCATGGGGTTCCTCAGCCGTGGTCCCGTTGACGCTTCGTGCGGGCTGACCCTTCGTTGTTGGAGGCGCCCTGTGCGCGGTGGGGGCTGCTTCGGGGTGCCCCTGGCCTTTGCCCGCCAGGTGCTGGTGGGAGCCTCCCTGTTCCGGTTGTACCAACCAGAAATACCTCCAGGTGTCGCTAGATGTCCCCAGGGGGCACAGCTGCCCACTCCTCTAAAAGCAGGCATTTCTCGAGGCTTCAGTGCTGTCTCAGTGATTTCTGTCGTCGTGTTGGTGTCTCACTGTTGTCACATGTTTTGTTTGTCCTTTTGAGTCTCGGTTCCTCAGGTCAGATCCTTGCCCAGCACATCCAGCTGGCTGTCTGGCCAGCACCCCCTTTCCGGCACGTCTGTGCTCAGCCCCGTCTGTCCCCTGCTGACCTCCTGTGTTTAGTGGCCCCTCTGGGCTTAGCCCCCCCACCTGCTGTGGGTCATCCTGCCTGTTCCCGGCTGCGATTCCTTCCCACGACAGGCCCCTCCTTTCTTTTCCCTGGCTCCGCCCAAGTTTTCACTCCCTCTCGCCAGGACGGTCACAGAGGCCCATTATGGTCCCTGTTCCCTGTCTCCCTGAATTAGCCAGCTCTGCCTTAGTCCTTAGTCTGCCTGGAACTCCTGCCCGAAACTCTCCCCACTTCCAGTAACTCTTCCCCCTTCCCATGAACGTTGTGCACGCGGGCTCGCACACGCTGGCACACACGTATATGCACGCGCCCTGGCCTGGCCTGCCTTCCCCGTGGGGCACTGCCCCGACTCTTCCTAATGCAGGGTCATTGGTGGCGCAGGGGCCCTGCCGCGTGCCCTCCACCCAGTGCTCTGTTCTGGTCCTGGGGATGCTGCGCTGTCACCGTCACATTATTCCTCTGCCCCAGTGGACCAGAGGCTGTGATTACAGATGCCTGTGTGCCTCGCTCCGTCTGGGGTCACGACTCCTGCACACTGTGTGCCTCAAATATGCATGGAATTGACTGAAAGCTTTGTGTTCTTCCCACAGTCAGTGTCCTCAGTTCTTAGCCTGATGGCCTGCACAGGTGGCCCTGAGGCCCTGCGTCCTCCACACGGTACTGGCCTGCAGCCCGGGCGGCCCTCCTGGCCCGCCGTCTGCGTGGGCTTTCTCTCCCTTGTCCTTTCCCTCGGTTCAGCTGTGTTTTCTTATGGAGGTAAAACTGGTACATGGCATGTTAGTTTTAGGTAATATTCAGCGTAACAGTGCCATCTTTGCACATCCTGCAAAGTGGTCACACAGTCTAGTTACCAGCTGTCCCCATACCCACTGTTCTCTGTGTCTGTGAGTTTTGTTTTCTTAGTTTTGTTTTGTGTTTTAAATCCCACACTTAAGTGACATAGTACAGCCTCCGTCTGACTCATTTCACTTAGCACAGTACCCTCAACGTCCATACGTGTAGTCACAGGTGGCAAGATGTCCTTTTTCGTGGCTGAGTAGTATCCCAACTACTCAGAAGGATTCCTAGACTATTCCAAGATACGTAGTCTAGGAATCCTTCCAAGTCCCATTTTGCCGGTGAAGATAATACGTATTTTTCAGTGGGCAGTTAAAATGTCACTTATTCAGGCCTTTTATTCTTTATCCCACTGAGTGGCATTTTTTCCTCTAAATTCTTCACTTTACTGCCTTATGTTATACTCACTCGTATCTCCAGTAACAGGACAGAGATCCTTGAGGGCTCCTAGAAGGTGCCCCACAGGCCTGTTTTGATGACTGGCATTCACATGTTGATCACTCGTGTGGGTGTTTCTCACATCTTGTGCTTTTTTCTGTTTTTTGAGAGTTTGACTCTGTGTTAGTTTGAGCAGGACAGACTGAGACGAAATAGTTAACGATTTCTTAGTTTTACTATATAAACTATCAGATGACTCCGAAAGAAGTAAGTTCTCCGAAGGAGATCAGTAATAACTGCCCTAAATGAGCCTGGTGTCCATAGACGTGCCTGGACCGTGGACTTGGAGACTCTGCCTTCTCGCCTCTGTTTCTCAGGGCCTGGCTGTGCTTGCGTTTTGCTGACAGTCAGAGCTGTTGACATGAGCTTCCCCCTTCTCCGTAGTCTCCCCTGCCTGCCCTCTTCACCCTGAGGTGCCACCTCTGGCTGGGAATAAAGTAACCCTGAACATGAAGGGGGAACTTCCCGTATTTGTCCAGTTCAGACACTGAGGGGTTTTATTTATTTATTTATTTATCTATTGCTAACTGGCATATATAAACTTAAAAGGTATGGATGAAGTAATATGTCTTCTTATATTATTTATGAATTTAGTTAGACATTTAAAATCCTATAGCAAGACAATGAAATGTTAATTTAGAAGTGTCACTTCTTTCCACGCTTTCCACACTGAAAACTCATGAAACAGTTTTCCTTAACCCTTTTCATGTGTGTCCTCGCCATTGTTGCCCCTTTGTGGCCAGAGCTCAAGCCATCTGACGCGGTCTGAGGGCGCAGAGTGTCCCTTCCGCCTGGCTGCAGGGCCACTGCCTGATGATCTGAATATGGTGGTATTATTGGAATTTTTTTTTTAAACCATTGGAAATTTTTGTCCTCAGCTACCAGGTCCCGTTCATACACCATTAGGACAGTTGTTTCTGATTCAGTATTTCCTTATAATGTTTTTAATCACATCAGAATTAGAGATTTAGAATTCAATTAATGAAAATACAACTGATTTGAAACATTTCAGATATTGAATTTTCTTTAATATTTTTTTTTCTCTTAAAAGATTCCAGCAGAGGGCACTTTGTCCAAAAAGTTGGCAGCAATAACGTAAGTTTATAATTTGAGAAAGGGAGGAGTCTTAAACTCTCTTCCATTTTGGTTAAAATTGAGATCATTTCTTAACTGTATAGCTTTTTATATTCGGATGAAACATCATGCAGCATTATTTTCTTATGTCTGTAATAGCATATCCATTTGTCGGATGTGTGTCTTTAAGCCTAAATGTAAATTGTAGAGTCATGGAAAGAACTGCAAGATAACTTATTAGAAAATGTGCCATGAGAAATTTCAGCGACGTTTAATCAGACATAGTGTTTAAAGAGAATTCAGAAAGTTTTGTACCTAAATGTTCTATTATAAATCAAGTGCCATATTTCATCAGTTCCAAGATGCACATTTCCCCATCCTTTAATGTTTTAAAAATAAAGATGCATCTTAAAATCAGAGATATTGTCTGGTTGCTGCTGGCTGGCCAGGTTTTTCCAGAGAAATTCTATAGGTCAGACAGTCAGACAGACAGACAGAGAAATCGAATGAAGTAGTGCCGTCTGGATGGGCCTGGAGATGGTAATACCAAGTGAGGTAAGCCAGACAGAGGAAGAGCAGTATTAGGGTGTCACTTATACGTGGGACCTAAAAAAAGAAGGACACCAATGAACTTACAATCAAAAAGAGACGCAGTCATAGGAAACAAACTATGGTTACCAAAGGGGAAGAGGGTGGGGAAGGGGTAGATTAGGAGTTTGAGATTCGCAGATAAAAACTACTGTGTGTAAAGAGATAAACAGCAACGTCCTACTGTACAGCACAGGGAACCACAGCCACGTCTGGAATAACCTGCAGTGAAAAAGGGTATGAAGAAGAAGACATGTGCGTAACTGGCTCCCTGTGCTGTCCTCCTGCAGAAACTAACACACTGTACATCAGTAAAAAAGAGAGAGAAAGGGAAAATTCTCTAGATTAAACAGGATTCAAAAGGCTTTTCAAGTTGAAGAATGGACAAGACCAAAGTAGGTCTAGGAGTAGAGACTTGAGTGATAAAACCACATAGACATGCAGGAAGCGGTTCCTGTAAAAGTGGGGGTGGTGGTCGCCTCTGAAGGCGAGGACAGGCAGCAGGCGGATGGAAGGGCCGCGGAGGAGGAGTCTGGGCCGTTGCCCTGTTCGTAGTGGTCTAAGCTCTGCGTGTGTGTGCGCGTGTGAGTGTGGTTTTTACTTGACGGTAAAAAGGAGACCTGAGGTTGTCCCTCCCATCTCCGCAGCGATGGCTGGTAAGAGGCGTGGGCGGCATGTTTCAGCCAGTATCTGTACACGTTGTGTGTTATTTTTTGAGTTATTACTAAATGTTTATTAAAAGAGACGAAACTTGCCCCAGGAATTCTTCTCATGTGTTGACTGACAGTGGAAAATAGACGATAGTTACGTATTTTAGTGATTTTGAGATTAATACATTTATGTTGTGTTTTTTGTTGTTGTTGTTTTTTTTTGGGCAGACGTAAAGTTCACCCTGATCAGAAAAACATTAATGCTTATGTTGTGTTCAAGGATGAGAGCGCGGCTACAAGAGCACTGGAAAGGTAACGTTTCTCTCTCTGATGTTCGAACGTAATTAGCGTATCTGAGTCTGTGTGATACGTGTTTGGTTCTTTGGTTTCCCTTCAGAGCGAATAACCCAGGAATTCGGTGCCCATTTTTAACAGCCATTTTCCCTTCATATTTGTAACAGAAATGGGGCCCAAATTGCAGATGGATTTCGGATTAGAGTGGATCTTGCATCGGAGAGCTCATCTGTAAGTCCCGCTTGAGTTGTGTGAGGAATTTAACCGGCGCCGTGTGGAAGGGAAGCGTGTTCTGAGCTGGGGCTTGGAAGGCGTGGGGCCCGCAGGTCACGTGGGGAAGCGGCGGGGACAGCCTTTCCCTCTGTGGTCACAGCATGGGTGCCTGAGTGGCCCAGGGACCTCGGTCAGCGTGCGCTTCCAGGCGACCGCGGGGGGCAGGCCGGAGGGAGTGTGAGGGCTCCCCCGCGCCTGGCGCCGAGTCACGCACCGACAGTGTGAGGCCCTCCCGGGTGCAGGTGGAGGTGAGCAGGCGGGCCGACCACGCCCTGTTTGATGAGAACCGCGGTCATAAATTTACAGGCCGCTTTGTCAGCTCGGAACAGGGCACCCGACTCTGGGGGCTGCTGCAGGAAGGGGCCGAGGGCTTCCAGGAGAACGGGTGTGAGTCTCGTCTGGCAAGATGAGTTGGCACCCAGGCAGAAACGTACTGAGCAGGATGAATGGTGGGGACTGGAGCCTAACTGGCTTGGGGCGGGGCTTGGTGCCGTCGCTGGTGGGTGGGGTGTCGGGAGGGGCGGCGCTACGGTTGCTGTTGGAGCGCGGAGCCCACGTGGCCCGCAGGGCTGGCCCTTCGCAGGAGCAGCCCCCGCCCCAGCAGAGCGCCCCTTTCTGGCCGCTGCTGCCTGTCAGTGGCCCCTGTGAACAGGACCCCTCCCCCACCCCAGGGTCACCCTCACTCCAGCCGGGGGGACAGCAGTCAGGAGGGGGACCCGTCACACCCACGCGGGGAGAGGGAAGGGTGGGCTGTGGGCTGCGTCCCTTCTCCGTCCCAGTGAGTGATGACGACCCCTTCTGTGTTTCAGAGGGACAAGAGATCTGTATTCGTGGGGAATCTGCCGTACAGTAAGTTGGTTTAAACAGGTGAAGTGCCTGTTTATCGCCGAGGTAACATGGAACAGCTGAGTAGTAACTTCCTGTTTTGCCTTAAGAGTAACTTTAAAACGCGTGGAGTGTAGCTTGACCAGCGTCGTGGGGCTGTGCTTAACCTGCCCTGTGACTGAACATCCCCAGCTTTTCTAAGGCGGTCCCACATCTTTGCTCCCACTTCGGTTGAATTTGTTTTTAGAAATTGAAGAATCTGCAGTGGAGAAGCACTTTCTGGACTGTGGCAGCGTCGTGGCGGTGAGGGTTGTGAGAGACCAGGTCACAGGAGCCGGCAGAGGGTTTGGCTACGTGCTCTTCGAGGTACGGAGGCTTGTGTCGTCACTGCCGTTTGACGTGTGCTGGGAGAGGCTGGCCCACCGCTCAGAGAACTGTCACCCTCAGATTCCGGCTTAAGAAAACCAGATTCATAACCGCCGTGAGAGAGTACTGTACCTGTGATTGCGGGGGCCAGAAAACCTTTGCGTTCTTTGTCCACGTTAATGCTATTCAGTAATGTTCCATAGACTGGATAGGAGAGGCATGGAATCTCTGAACCCCCACCTTCTGTAAAATGGGGAAGGAGTTGTACACTCAGGTAGAGGAGTGCCCGAGTCTCTTTTCCGCTGTAATAGTGAAACTGGCGTGGTTATGTCCTTTTCCTTCAAATGTTTGCCTCCATTTCTGGACTCCTTCTTCAGGAAGGCTCCCCAGTGGGTTCTTACTAACCAGGTCAAGACACGTGGCGCCTGTTACCAGGTGGCGCCCGGTGCTTCGGTCGTTCCTGCAGCGCAGTTCCCCGCTGCCTTCCCTGCCCTGCTGCCGGGAAGTCCGTAAAGCCCTGTAACCGCAGGCCTGTGAACATTCAGGTTAGCGCTTAGCGGCTCTGCATCCGAGTAAAAGAACGGGAGCCTTGGACCCCTACAGGGCGTCTTGTCCAATGGCTCAGGGACTAGTTTCCTGCTCTCGGGCGCCTCCTGCGGCGGGGCTTTTGCAGGAAGAGCTTGAGAGCCTTGTGAGGGGGAGACTGCAACGCACGCAGCTCGTTAGTTCGACCTGAGTCTGACGCTGAGAGAATGAAGCCTCTTGGACTGTGCCTTTCCTGATCCTTCGACAAGGCAGCCGGAGTGCTTCCCGGGGGGCTGGATTACACCACAGGCAGAGCTCTGAGGACACTTGGGACTGGACTCCTTGGCTGTGGAAATGCGGGGGGGGGGGGAGGTATCTATGTGCAAGCCTGAAAGTTGTTCTGATCCGTTTAAGTCTGTTTTACTGGTTTCTTTGCAGATGAGATTCTGGTGGAAAAAATCTTAACTGGTGTATATAATTTTTTTTTTACTTCAGAATACAGATGCTGTTCATCTTGCTCTGAAATTAAATAATTCTGAACTGATGGGAAGGAAACTCAGAGTCATGCGTTCCGTTCATAAAGGAAAGTTAAAACAAAATTCAAATCCTACTTCGAAGAACGTCAGTAAACCTGAGCAGGGACTTAATTTTGCTTCAAACAATGTTCAACATTCTAAAAGTTTGTTTATTGGAGAAAAGGCTGTTCTCATTAAGAAGAAAAAGAAAGGACAGAGGAAACATGGACAAACTAAGAAAAAACAGAAGTAACAACCTGAAGTTCTGGGGTTTTTTTCCACTTACTGGTAATAAAAGTGTCGTGAGTCCCTGTATTGGGTTTCAGGACTTTTTAATGGATGGTGCATGTGAAGCATGGACACTTTTTCCATTTACTCACGCTGTCACAGTCCCGGAGGCACTGAAGGTGTAGGCAGGTTAGTCACCATGCAGTGCGCTGACGGTCTGAGGAGGCTCAGACTTGGGGTGAACAGGGAGGGGGTACGCTTAGGGGTAGAGCATGTGCTTAGCATGCTTGAGGTCCTGGGCTCGATCCCTGGTCCCTGTGTGAATTAGATTTATGGTGAACATTTAGAATTTTAGTGATTATGTATCATTTTAATATGTCAGAAGTATGTAATTTAACACTTCAGTTATGTTAAGAATTACTTGGGATGAGACTAAATTAAGAGTCGCAAAAAAAAAAAAAAGTCTCAAGAAAAATGAAACCTTATACTGACTGTACCTAAACAAAGTATCCAGATAACTAAAGTGGGAACACAGGCCTCAGGTCAGACCCTAATCCCTGAGAAGGAAGGCTTGAGGACTTATATCATAGCCACTCTTCTCTTGCGCTTAAGGTAGATGGGTTATGGGTTTTAATTTCATTACCCTAATAATGAACCAACAGAAACTTTGTAGCAAATGTTGCTTTCTTATTCTTAACTGGTGGTTAGGCTGGTTATAGAAGCCTTTGGTAAACTGGCTACAGAGATTTCTATTTTTAATTTGAAATACTCTCCCAGGAAAACTTGTGATTCTTAAATTGCTACCCAATAGAATCAAACTGTATTTTTAAAAAATCATAGAGAAAACATTTCTGATGCAATATGGTAATTAAGTCCAAGTATACAGCCTAAGGGGAGAGACTGCTACTGCATTCCCTCGGGACTTAACTGGGCGGTAGGGCCACGCCCCTCCCACAGTCTCACCAAGCTGGGCCTGCATCCGGGAAGGAGGGAGTGAACCGGGGGCTGGCCTGAGGCAGGCTCAGTCTGTGGTAACATGCATCAGGTTAAGTGGGCAAGGGGGGCTGGAGGACAGTGAGTTACCGATTATCGTGAAAGTCCTTTCTTTTGGGCAGAGTGCAAGGAAAACCTACTGGGTCTTTAAAATATGGCCCTTAGAGGGGGCAGGGTATATAGCTCAGTGGCAGAGTGCATGCCTGTTTGGTGGAAATTAAAGAATTCAGTACCTCCGAAATGCCTCCTGGACTATTTCCAGAACACAGTTGTAGGTGAAGAAAACCTGTAACAATTACATATATTTTATTTAAAAACCTGTGTTTAAAAAGAAAATAAACCCATTTGAATCACATTGCGGAGTAAAAATTTTAAAACTGTTAACAATGCTTAGGGAATGTCATTTCTGCCTGACTCATCTAGTTGACTGTGTTTTTTTTTGTCTTGGGGGGGTAATTTGGTTTATTTCTTGAGGAGGGATTGGGGACTGAACCCAGGACCTCATGCACGCTAAGCATGCGCTCTACCACTTGAGCTACACCCTCCCCTCCTTAGTTGACTATTTTCTGAAAAAAATTTCCCAAAGTCTCTTTAAATAGACTGGCCTATAAAGTCTGATAACTGATGGTTTTATGCTTCAGATCATTATCTGGGTACTGGGTGTTCCCAACCAGCTGGCAGGCCTTTTCAGCACCCACCTCATTTTTACAGAGTGCCAGTGACAGTCACACAGCTGGGCTTCTAGTCAGTTTCCACCTCCCCACCGAGCATCACTGTCTGTCACATTCATGACCCCAGACCAGCAACATCACCAAAACCTGGGAACTTGCTAGAAATGCTGGTCGATGTGTGTTCCTGGCCCAGACCTGCCACCCAGCAATGTGTGGGGCCATCAACCTGCCAAGCAGCAATGTGTAGGCCCCTCAACCGGCTTTAACAAGGCTCCCAGGTGATTCCACACCCCTAAAGGTGGCAAGCCTCCCTCCACAGAACCCTCACCTGCTGACACAGATGAGTGAACCCCCTGAAGTCAAAGGCAAATAAATGCCCGTTTTCCCGTGGAGCAGCAGCACAGCTGTCAACATTCTCAAAGGAGTGTTAACTGAGGAAGTTAGGTCCCCCCCCCATGTTGAGTCATGTAAGTCAGAATTCAGTTCTGCAAATACACACCAAGACAAAATTTTCTCCAAGCCCTTTAATATCACTTTAACAGCTGAGGCACAAGCAATAATAAAACTGCATTTTTTATGTTACAAGAAATGAAAGTTCTGTGTATCTGCATGATATACCAACTTTCTCAAAGATCTCTTCTGCAATGACATTTCATTAAACACTCTGGTCCATAGGCTGAAAAGGTCAGAAAGGCAGACAAGATGATACAAATACCAAACTCACTGAGGGGGACTAGGACTCCAACGTCTGCTGACTGCCCACGGTGCACACCGCACAGGCTGTGCACGCCGTAAGGTAGGTGGGAACCCGAGTTCTCCCCACCTGTTACCAGAACAGCACTGATGCTGTCAGGTAAGCCCGTTTTCTATGCTGTTGCTCTAAGTGCAAACTGTGGAAGCAAACAAGGGGTCTCTGGCCGAGGAAGCAGGCCAGTGTGCACTCACATTTCCATTTCCAAAGGTTTCAGACAAGTGGGCAGCGCCAGCACGCGGGACGTCCCAGCTATTGTCACCCTGTGCACCTCCTGGGGGGCACCACCCGGCCAGCATCACTCCCGCCCGGTCCCATTGCCGTGGGAGACCAGCTAGGAAACAGTGTTCCCCAAGTATGCGTCCAGGGCAGAGGACCTGTGGAGAGCCAGCTTTCAAAAGTGGGAGCTAATTTTAAAGCACCAAAGCGGTCATTTAAATCCGATGTACTTGGCATATCAGCTCTAAGGTAAGGATGTCACTGCCTTCTCAGTAAGCGTTAGATCGAAGCTGATTATTTCTCAGAAACCAAAGGATGCCCAGCCTGGGCTGCACCACAGCATTCCTGGCGCCTCGTAGGCACCCTCCTCAGGTCTAGGCTGAGCCCTCACTCCTGCCGGCCCCCTGCCCTTCCTTCCCCACCCAGAGTCCATCCTCCCTTGCCCTCGCTCCCTCCCCACTGCATCCCCCGACTCCCGCAAGGTGCACGCTTCCCTCCCAATTGCCCGGTCCGTGCTCTGTCTGGGCACGTGCAGGACAGAAGACGTTTCCAAGCTTCACGATCCATCACTGACCCGTCACCACTATACTATTTTGGATTTGGGATCCGATTAGGACAACGGACTAACCAGCCCGTTTGTACTGGTCACCCCACCTCACCCACCCACAAGCATGCAGTGTCACTGAAAAAAAAAAAAAGCACAATGTTAAAGGGTTCAGGAGTCGTGAACCTGGAAGGTTCCTGAGGAAGAGTCCTTAAATGTGAGTGACCTAGTCTGCCGTTCTAATTTTACAGATGGGAACAATGGAGGTCAGGTTCATAGGTGTGTGTGGATTTCCCCAAGGCTGCGCAGCAATCCAGAGGCAGGCAACTACTTCTGCAGTATCGCAACCACCACAAAAACCCGAGGTTAAACTTAAGGAAAATTTTTAGGTAAAACAAAATATCTAGTACATAGAAGAAAAGTATGAGGTCTCTCCATAGACTTACACAGAATAAAGGCAACCTGTACAGTGAGAAATACTGCTTAGTTCAACAGACGCCACCAAGGACCCAGGTCTTTATTCTCAGCTCTGATGTTGGCTGTGGCTGCAGGTAATACGTCTCTATCTTGAGGATAAAAGCTCTCGTTACCTTCATTCTCTGCAAGTCTTCAGCCACAAGGTGACACCTCGTTCTCATCCTAACAAGATCAATGAACCAGGCTGGAAGGGGACTAAGGAAGGACACTGAAGGCAGAAGCAAAGGGGAACACACACTGTTACAAGCGTATCATCCCAGTTACCTTGAAGGTTAAGTTTCAGATTAGTTTACAGAAGTAGTGACAGAACCATGATTTCAGTAAAAAATCAACACAAGTTATAACTTAAAAAAAATCAATTCAGAAATACTAAGTCAGGCAAGCATGCAAAATTCAGAGTATTAAAAAAAAAAAAGCAAGGGCTGGTTGCCCAGACACATCCCTCAGAAAAGGGGGATGTGAAGGTACTGGACAGAACCAAAGAAACCAGCAGCTGGAAGGGGCGCCTCTGAACTGGCAACCAGGCCCCTAGTGTTATGAAAGAGGCGAGCGGGCAGACGTTAACTGGAGAAGCTCACTCGGCTGGACCAGGGTGTGCAGAGATCTAGATCCTGGTGCCACCTGCAACTACTTATTCCTAAAATACAAGGAGAGAACTATCCAGAACACAGGAAGCCCACCGGTTTGAAAGAAACATCACAAGACGAATATGCACGGCGGGCGGAAGGTGTTAGCGCAGCACATCACACGGATCTAAGAGATTAACCGGAAAGGAAGACTCTCTCCAAGATTTTAATGCTCAGTTTTGAGATATACAATCAAATTTCCATCCAATTTTCTATAGCAAAATGTAAGAGCTTTTTTAAAAAATTGCATTCTTCAGTTTTCTTCTACACTTTTTTTGGCCAATCTTTCAAAGCTGAGCACTGGGTGTTTCTGATGTCAGTTACATGATGTTATATGTGCATTCTAACTGCATGTCTTAGGAGTAAACAGTGTCCATATTTCAGTAACTCATAGTGTATTTATAAAATGAAAAGCTTTCTATCAAAATACACTTTTCACTGGGAAAAATAAATAAAACAGACCAATGGATCTACACAGAGTGAAGACGAACTGTGGTAGATTCAGTGCAGGACGGTCCACGCAAGCACACCTGCCCTCTCCCCCCAGAGCTGCGCATCTTCCCAGTTAGGATTTAAAAAATATTTTTAATTGAGCTTATTACACTGACATTTGCTTCTCATTCCACATCATCTTCAGTCAAGCTCTGAGCACTTACAATTCTCTGAAAGAAAAAAAAATTTTAATTTTTAAAATTACCGTTGGCATTTAGTCAGGATTCTAAGTTCAACATAAAAGGCTCTTGTGTCAAGTCTTCCCGGAGCTTACCCACACTGAGATGTCAGCATGCAACTCTCACACACCGTCA